CCTTTGGTAAAACAGGAAGTTTTAAGGCTACGTTAGATTATTTATGCGTTTTTCGTGTTCCAGGCCGGAGTGATTAAGTTATCACCCGCCCTGGAACACAACGACAACTCTGGTGTTGTGGTGGTGATGACCACATCCCTATTGTGATCACCTGTATCATGTAGCCCTGGGCTGGTGGGCTGGTTCACAGGAGAGCAACCATACAGCCCTGGACTGGAATATCAACGTAACTCCAACAGTGAACTGCGTTGAAGAAAAGAACTGAAGAAGAAAAGAAATGAAACTCTGAGGCCGTCGATCGTCAGGGCGAGTAAGGCCTTTATTAATAATATTATTATTATTGTTGGTGCTGCTTTGGAGGCAGTGATTTCCCAAGTGGGTGAGAAGAGATGCGCAGTGTTGGAGTGAGCAGTGTTAGGATCCTCCCTCAGATGCTGTCTACCTCCATTATCTGAGCGTGCCTCCAGATGCATGCAAATGAGAGAGAGAGAGAGAGAGAGAGAGAGAGAGAGAGAGAGAGAGAGAGAGAGAGAGAGAGAGAGAGAGAGAGAGAGAGAGAGAGAGAGAGAGAGAGAGAGAGGTAGGAATGTTTTTGTATGTGTTCAAGAAAGTCAAAGGTTTCTGTTTGAGCTGAATAAACAAAGTTACTGGGGACCCATAACACAGTACTTATCCCAGCGGGACTGTGAACAAACTAAGCACGGAGTAGTGGTGGTGCTGCTGTTGTTGACTGCTGTTGCTTGTGATGCTGCTGCTGCTGCTGTTGACTGCTGTTGCTTGTGCTGTTGCTTGTGCTGCTCCTGTTGTTGCTGGTGCTGATGTTGTTGACTCCTGCTGCTTGTGCTGCTGCTGTTTGTGTTGCTGCTGCCACTGCTGCCGCTGCTGCTGTTACTGTTTGTGTTGTTGCTGCTGCTGCTGTTGACTGCTGTTGCTGCTGCTGTTGGTGCTGCTGGTGCTGCTGCTGTTGTTGCTGCTGCTGCTGTTGACTGCTGCTGCTGTTGACTGCTGCTGCTGTTTGTGTTGCTGCAGCTGCTGTTGTTGCTGTTGCTGCTGCTGCTGCTGCTGCTACTGGTGCTCCTGCTGCTGTTGCTGTTGCTACCGCTGCTGCTGCTGCTGCTTGTGCTGCTGCTGCTTGTGCTGCAGCTGCTGACATGACTGCCACTAGTGACAATGCTGCTGGGGACAATCTGCTGTTACTAATCAGCATCGCTGCAGGCGGTGCTGTTTCTGCTTTGGTTAATAATGTAATTAATTTATATATATATTTATTACAAATTTAATTTGCTTATAGAATGATTGGTATGATTCCTAGTGCTTCAGTTTCTGTTGCCAAACTCCCGGGTACTTATTTACTGCTAGGTAAACAGCTGCATTAGGTGAAAGGAAATAAGCCCAAGCGTCTATGTTCAGCCAGGAAATCGAACCCGGGATCTGCAGGGTGTGAATCAAGGAAGATGCTTAGAACAAGGAAGACAAGGAGCTGGGATTGGACAGGAAGAATGAACGGTGCTACTTGGGATATCGGGGGATCGAACGCCGACCTGCAAAAAGCGACAAGTGGATGGACTCACACCATTGAAGTTTCAGTACTTGCCCTTTAACTACCTCCGACCCTCCAGGGGCTTAGTGCTTTAACACTTACTCGCGATTCCCCTCGTTAAAGGAGATCAAGTATACTGTTGTGTGACGCCACTGGCATTGTTTCGTTAAGTCCTGCGTTCCACACCTGTGGTCCTACACTGTGTACTCACCGTTCCACACCTGTGGTCCTTCACTGTGTACTCACCGTTCCACACCTGTGGTCCTACAATGTGTACTCACCGTTCCACACCTGTGGCTCCCTTCACTGTGAACTCACCGTTCCACACCTGTGGTCCTACACTGTGTACTCACCGTTCCACACCTGTGGTCCTACACTGTGTACTCACCGTTCCACACCTGTGGCTCCCTTCACTGTGAACTCACCGTTCCACACCTGTGGTCCTTCACTGTGTACTCACCGTTCCACACCTGTAGTCCTTCACTGTGGACTCACCGTTCCACACCTGTAGTCCTTCACTGTGTACTCACCGTTCCACACCTGTGTCCGTTCACTGTGTACTCACCGTTCCACACCTGTGATCCTTCACTGTGTACTCACCGTTCCACACCTGTAGTCCTTCACTGTGTACTCACCGTTCCACACCTGTAGCCCTTCACTGTGTACTCACCGTTCCACACCTGTGTCCGTTCACTGTGTACTCACCGTTCCACACCTGTAGTCCTTCACTGTGTACTCACCGTTCCACACCTGTAGTCCTTCACTGTGTACTCACCGTTCCACACCTGTAGTGCTTCACTGTGTACTCACCGTTCCACACCTGTAGTCCTTCACTGTGTACTCACCGTTCCACACCTGTAGTCCTTCACTGTGTACTCACCGTTCCACACCTGTGTCCCTTCACTGTGTACTCACCGTTCCACACCTGTAGTCCTTCACTGTGGACTCACCGTTCCACACCTGTAGTCCTTCACTGTGTACTCACCGTTCCACACCTGTGTCCGTTCACTGTGTACTCACCGTTCCACACCTGTGGTCCTTCACTGTGTACTCACCGTTCCACACCTGTAGTCCTTCACTGTGTACTCACCGTTCCACACCTGTAGTCCTTCACTGTGTACTCACCGTTCCACACCTGTAGTCCTTCACTGTGTACTCACCGTTCCACACCTGTGTCCCTTCACTGTGTACTCACCGTTCCACACCTGTAGTCCTTCACTGTGGACTCACCGTTCCACACCTGTAGTCCTTCACTGTGTACTCACCGTTCCACACCTGTGTCCGTTCACTGTGTACTCACCGTTCCACACCTGTGGTCCTTCACTGTGTACTCACCGTTCCACACCTGTAGTCCTTCACTGTGTACTCACCGTTCCACACCTGTAGCCCTTCACTGTGTACTCACCGTTCCACACCTGTGTCCGTTCACTGTGTACTCACCGTTCCACACCTGTAGTCCTTCACTGTGTACTCACCGTTCCACACCTGTAGTCCTTCACTGTGTACTCACCGTTCCACACCTGTAGTCCTTCACTGTGTACTCACCGTTCCACACCTGTAGTCCTTCACTGTGGACTCACCGTTCCACACCTGTGTTTATCCTGTGTAACCAATGCCGTTATCCCGTCACTGCGAGCTGTTCACAGGAGCAAGAGTATACAAACCACAGTGTATTTGTGACGCAGTGTAGCGAGGTGGACAGTGTAGCAAGGTAGACAGTATAACGAGGTGGACAGTGTAGAGAGGTGGTAGACAGTGTAGCGAGGTGGACAGTATAGCGAGGTGGTAGGCAGTGTAGCGAGGTAGACAGTGTAGCGAGATAGACAGTGTAGAGAGGTGGTAGACAGTGTAGCGAGGTAGACAGTGTAGCGATGTGGACAGTGTAGCAAGGTAGACAGTATAACGAGGTAGACAGTGTAGCGAGGTGGACAGTGTAGCGAGGTAGACAGTGTAGCGAGGTGGTAGACAGTGTAGCGAGGTGGTAGACAGTATAGCGAGGTGGACAGTGCCGTTCAGCACCCCGCCCCCCCCCCAAAGGAACAACATTGCAGTATATGCAAATTCTTGCATGTTGCATTAAAATTATTACATAGACCGCCGAGTTATACTGCATTTCTGAGTCGTAATTGAAGACAAAAGTTGACGTATTTAAAGAACAACAAAAGCAACAAGACTCTTCAGTTTATTCATGTAATTCACCAATGAGTTCGTTATTCATCTGTAAACAATACATCCATTCAACATGGTTATTGAGATCCCACAGAGTGAAGTTCGATCCCCAGCATTGCATCATCTTATTTTTCCATTCTCTTCTTAACAAATTCTCAATGAATATGATTAATTTACTGTCTGGAACAAATCCACAAGGGCCGTGACGAGGGTTCGAACCTACGTCCGAGAGGATCCCAGGCGTCTGGGATGCTCTCGGACGCAGGTTCGAATCCTCATCACGGCCCTTGTGGATTTGTTCATTTGATCCATCACACTATTGTGATTTGTGTGTATTACTGTCTGGAGCATTCGTTGAATTCCGCCGCACATATAAGGTATCCGAGACCCCCAAGATATTGTGAGCTCCCGCTTCATGCAGGTCGGCGTTCAATCCCCGATCGTCCACCAAGTGGCTAGGCACCATTCCTCTTCCCCCCTTCCCCCGTTTCCATCCCAGATCCTTATCCTGATCAATTCCAAGGGTTGTATAGTCTTAATGGCTTGGCGCTTTCCCCCCTGATAATTCCCTTCCCTTCCTCCTTAAAATAACAGGATTCTCAATAACGTATCATAACGCATCGATTAACGTTGTTCTTGAAGCATTAGTTCTCTCCATAACGTTAAGTTCTCTGAGAGAAAGTCACGCTCACATCTTAACAAAACTACTCTAATTTCCGATAACAAGAAAACACTGTCTTCAGTTTCCAGGTGATTTCCAGTTTCCAGGTTTCCTTTCCAGGTAGAGCGTGAGACATGTGTCTCACTCTTCCTGGGGAAGAGTGAGACACATGTCTCACTCTTCCTGAGGAAGCGGGCGACACGCACTCGAATTTTCGCGAGAGGTGAGAGACATTTTCGAGTGCATTTTGGACAGCGAGAACAGGTCTGAAGATCCTGGAAAGTGATTGACGCTTATGAGTTTTCCAGGAAAATATTAGGTGATCCCAAGGATTTCCCGGAGAGGAAGAGGCGTCGTGAGATATAAATAGAAATCCTCGTGAAACCTCTTGAAGGGTGACAAGTGAACTCTACCCAGGCTTCTCGGAAACTCGAAGGAAAGTGACTTCTGAGTTGTCCGAGAAAGTAACATTACCAAAGTTTCTGGAGAGTAATCGACGTTAAGAGAGTTTTCTTGCACTGGAAAAACTTCTATAATTTCTTCAGCTTTCCTGGAATGTGAGAAAAATTCATGAGGCTTCCTGGAGAGTGCCACGCTCCGTCCTGAGGCTTCTACGAGAGTACCACTGCTTCACGAAGCTTCCAGCAGAGTACCACTGCCTCCCGAGGCTTCCAGCAGAGTACCACTGCCTCCCGAGGATTCCAGCAGAGTACCACTGCCTCCCGAGGTTTCCAGCAGAGTACCACTGCCTCCAGAGGCTTCCAGCAGAGTACTACCGCTTCTCGAGGATTCCAGCAGAGCACCACTGCCTCCCGAAGTTTCCAGTAGAGCTCCACTGTCTCCCGAGGCTTCCAGCAGAGTACTACCGCTTCTCGAGGATTCCAGCAGAGTACCACTGCCTCCCGAGGCTTCCAGCAGAGTACTACTGCTTCTCGAGGCTTCCAGCAGAGTACCACTGCCTCCTGAAGCTTCCAGCAGAGTACCACTGCCTCCCGAGGCTTCCAGCAGAGTACTACTGCTTCTCGAGGCTTCCAGCAGAGTACCACTGCCTCCTGAAGCTTCCAGCAGAGTACCACTGCCTTCCGAGGCTTCCAGTAGAGCACCACTAGCTCCCGAAGCTTCCAGTAGAGCACCACTGCCTACCGAGGCTTCCAACAGAGCACCAATTTGCTCGCAACATCATTTTAACTCGTCTAACAGCAAACACCCCTTCTTAAATATGTATAGAGAAACACTAATTCTTCACTGTATCCTTCTCCTTTATGTAATTTAGTCGCTCCACACCTGAGGACCAGAATTAACACATATATGTGTGTGTTTATTTGAACCTCGACTAATTCACCAACATACCTGTTGCATCGGCAACAAATGCAACCGGCGACGTGTATTGCTGTTGTAAATACCTGGCGTCTGCTACACCTGACAGGTACAATATCACAGCCGCCATTAAATATGGATTTGAACACATGTGTCGCGTTGTCGCCATCTATTGTCACCTGCACTCCACACGCGTCGTCGCCATCTATTGTCACCTGCACTCGACTTGTTGTGCAGCCGAAATGTGTTAGATGTGATCAAACGAACTTCCGAGAGGCATGGCGAACAGCAGACATGACGCAGACAGTCTGCTGAACGTTGTGGTTTACTATGGACATGCCGCAGACGTCTGCTGAACGTTGGGGTTCACTATAGACATGATGCAGATGTCTGCTAACAGTTGTGGTTCACTATAGACATTACGCAGATGTCTACTGACAATAATGATCAACATCCGATGAAAGAACACTCACACCACTGTCGCAGACAATGAAGGATCAATTACTCCACTGTAGCAGACAGTGAAGGATCAATTACGCCACTGTTGCAGACAGTGAAGGATCAATTACACCACTGTAGCAGACAGTGAAGGATCAATTACGCCACTGTTGCAGACAGTGAAGGATCAATTACACCACTGTTGCAGACAGTGAAGGATCAATTACACCACTGTAGCAGACAGTGAAGGATCAATTACACCACTGTTGCAGACAGTGAAGGATCAATTACACCACTGTTGCAGACAGTGAAGGATCAATTACACCACTGTTGCAGACAGTGAAGGATCAATTACACCACTGTTGCAGACAGTGAAGGATCAATTACATCACTGTTGCAGACAGTGAAGGATCAATTACATCACTGTTGCAGACAGTGAAGGATCAATTACATCACTGTTGCAGACAGTGAAGGATCAATTACATCACTGTTTGAAGGATCAATTACACCACTGTTGCACTGTTGCAGACAGTGAAGGATCAATTACATCACTGTTGCAGACAGTGAAGGATCAATTACATCACTGTAGCAGACAATGAAGGATCAATTACACCACTGTTGCAGACAGTGAAGGATCAATTACATCACTGTTGCAGACAGTGAAGGATCAATTACATCACTGTTGCACTGTTGCAGACAGTGAAGGATCAATTACATCACTGTTGCAGACAGTGAAGGATCAATTACTACACCACTGTTGCAGACAGTGAAGGATCAATTACATCACTGTTTGAAGGATCAATTACCACTGTTGCAGACAGTGAAGGATCAATTACACCACTGTTGCAGACAGTGAAGGATCAATTACACAATTACACCACTGTAGCAGACAGTGAAGGATCAATTACATCACTGTTGCAGACAGTGAAGGATCAATTACTCCACTGTTGCAGACAGTGAAGGATTACATCATTGCAGACAATGTAGGATCAATTACACCACTGTTGCAGACAGTGAAGGATCAATTACATCACTGTTGCAGACAGTGAAGGATCAATTACAGTGAAGGATCACTGTTGCAGACAGTGAAGGATCAATTACACCACTGTCACTGTTGCAGACAGTGAAGGATCAATTACACCACTGTAGCAGACAGTGAAGGATCAATTACTCTGTTGCAGACTGAAGGATCAATTACATCACTGTAGCAGACAGTGAAGGATCTGTAGCATTACACCACTGTAGCAGACAGTGAAGGATCAATTACATCACTGTTGCAGACAGTGAAGGATCAATTACTCCACTGTTGCAGACAGTGAAGATCAATTACATCACTGTTGCAGACAGTGGATCAATTACATCACTGTTGTAGCAGACAGTGAAGGATCAATTACACCACTGTAGCAGACAGTGAAGGATCAATTACATCACTGTTGCAGACAGTGAAGGATCAATTACACCACTGTTGCAGACAGTGAAGGATCAATTACACCACTGTTGCAGACAGTGAAGGATCAATTACATCACTGTTGCAGACAGTGAAGGATCAATTACACCACTGTTGCAGACAGTGAAGGATCAATTACATCACTGTAGCAGACAGTGAAGGATCAATTACATCACTGTAGCAGACAGTGAAGGAACAATTACATCACTGTAGCAGACAGTGAAGGATCAATTACATCACTGTAGCAGACAGTGAAGGAACAATTACATCACTGTAGCAGACAGTGAAGGAACAAACATCACTGTAGCAGACAGTGAAGGAACAATTACATCACTGTAGCAGACAGTGAAGGATCAATTAAACATCACATCACTGACAAAACTATAAACATTAGCAGACATAACTCAAACACACCTCTCTCAACAGTAGAAAATAAATTGTTAAAATACAGGAGCAAACTTTATTTCCGAGTTGGGCTGTTGGCCGCATTAGGGAGCAGGTCACGGGGCTCCGTGCCTGGCGGCGCGGTCTCTAATGTGTCCCTGGGCTCTCGTAATTACTCCCAAGTAAGGTACAGTGCTGTATTTTTAAACCATTTCAGCCAACAGTTCTCGTGATCTGTTGTTCTTGTAAATTCAGCTATTCAGAACGAAGTGTCCATGTAGCACGGGCTATGGCGAGCCCGTAATCGTTTTATTTTCCTGCTGCGGTGGAGAGGTTACATGTTCTATGGTCTCTATATCCTCCCTTAGGTTAACGCCCCTCCCCAATCGCTTCCATTAATAAATAATCTTATATAAATATGTGCATATATAATATCTTTTACTAAACGTATATAACAGACCGAACAAATGAATAATTAAATAATAAATAAAAAATGGAAATAATTGATGTGTTTATAACAGGAACTGTGAATTGTGGTATGCGACCAACGACCATTAGTTATGGTTGAAGAGATCACGGGGGGATAATTCCATTTGGGTGGAAGTTGTTGGGCACAGTTACGAGCTCTTTGGGCATAATTAGGGAGAATTAGGGAAAGGCGATAATTATGGACAGTTGCGAGGAGTCGAGGAGTAGTTAGGACCGTCAGGAGGGTAGTTTAAACTGGCGCTGATTTGTCTTTGTTTACATGTCAGCTGTTTTATCTGTCCGTCTGTTTGCCTGACTGTTTCTGTCTCTCTCTCTCTCTCTCTCTCTCTCTCTCTCTCTCTCTCTCTCTCTCTCTCTCTCTCTCTCTCTCTCTCTCTCTCTCTCTCTCTCTTTCAGAAATATCATATAATGTTCCACTTAAATTGGCGAATAAGTCTACGGTCAACACAACCCATGTTTTAGTTTCATGAAAATCACACGAATTGTATTCACCTAGTTGTGTTTGCGGGGGTTGAGATCTGGCTCTCTGGTTCCGCCTCTCAACTGTCAACACACACACCCACACACACACACACACATATTGTGTGTTTGTGTATGTGGGGTAGGGGGGGGGTTGCGTTAGATGCCGATATTTCTTGAAGTGGGGCACTGGAGCCGATCCCGAGATGCCTATGACATGCCCAAACCCCATATTCTTCATGTGTGAAATTTTTAATGAGACTAACCCCAAGCATCTGGTCCATAACCTTGGACACAGACACATACATTCTCTCTCTCTTATAGTATATTTGGCCGAACGTACAAAAATGGACGGTTGCAACCAATAATATTCACATTGTGCACTGGGGGGGGGAAGAGAGAGAGAGAGAGAGAGAGAGAGAGAGAGAGAGAGAGAGAGAGAGAGAGAGAGAGAGAGAGAGAGAGAGAGAGAGAGAGAGAGAGAGAGAGAGAGAGAGAGAGAGAGACTGATAAAGGGTCGACACAAGAATCAATAAAACAGAATAATGGATTATTAGGTTGTTCATCTGACCTCTCTAACCCCCCCCCCCGTCTCCCCCTATCCACTGCTCTCACTCTCTAAAGAGTTACTATCACCACTGAGGCAAGGGAAGGGGAGGTAGGAGAGAGATAGGGAGATAAAGGAAGAGCGAAGAAGGGAAGAGATGAGAGAATTATACCAATATGGAAGATCAAAATAAATAAAACAGAACAATAATGACACAGAAAGGCTTTAAAATAATAAAGCCACTTTACCAAGTGACTTTACCATCACTATACCAAGTGATACATAAGAGTGTGTGAGTGGTAATGTCCCAGCTGAACTTGCCCTCACGTAGTGCAGAATGCTGTGCACTAGAGGTACAGCTCTACTGCACCTCTAGTACAGTAGAGCTGAGGGAGAACTCTATCAACATCAAGGAGCCCCAAGACCACTCTTCTGCAACACGTAAGAAGGTACAGCTCTACTGCACCTCTAGTACAGTAGAGCTGAGGGAGTACTCTATCAACATCTAGGAGCCCCAAGACCACTCTTCTGCAACACGTAAGAAGGTACAGCTCTACTGCACCTCTAGTACAGTAGAGCTGAGGGAGAACTCTATCAACATCAAGGAGCCCCAAGACCACTCTTCTGCAACACGTAAGAAGGTACAGCTCTACTGCACCTCTAGTACAGTAGAGCTGAGGGAGAACTCTATCAACATCTAGGAGCCCCAAGACCACTCTTCTGCAACACGTAAGAAGGTACAGCTCTACTGCACCTCTAGTACAGTAGAGCTGAGGGAGAACTCTATCAACATCTAGGAGCCCCAAGACCACTCTTCTGCAACACGTAAGAAGGTACAGCTCTACTGCACCTCTAGTACAGTAGAGCTGAGGGAGAACTCTATCAACATCTAGGAGCCCCAAGACCACTCTTCTGCAACACGTAAGAAGGTACAGCTCTACTGCACCTCTAGTACAGTAGAGCTGAGGGAGAACTCTATCAACATCAAGGAGCCCCAAGACCACTCTTCTGCAACACGTAAGAAGGTACAGCTCTACTGCACCTCTAGTACAGTAGAGCTGAGGGAGAACTCTATCAACATCAAGGAGCCCCAAGACCACTCTTCTGCAACACGTAAGAAGGTACAGCTCTACTGCACCTCTAGTACAGTAGAGCTGAGGGAGAACTCTATCAACATCAAGGAGCCCCAGTAGAGTGAGACCACTCTTCTGCAACACGTAAGAAGGTACAGCTCTACTGCACCTCTAGTACAGTAGAGCTGAGGGAGAACTCTATCAACATCTAGGAGCCCCAAGACCACTCTTCTGCAACACGTAAGAAGGTACAGCTCTACTGCACCTCTAGTACAGTAGAGCTGAGGGAGAACTCTATCAACATCTAGGAGCCCCAAGACCACTCTTCTGCA